AATACTAAAAAATAAATATTAAAGAAAATTCTCTCTCTCTCTCTCTCTCTCTCTCCTTCTCTCTCACTCTCTCTTTAAAAAAAAAAAAAAGAATGGTAGAAAAAAATTTCAAACACCCATCACAAAGAGAACAGGATAAAGGCAGAAAGAGGAGAGGGCAATTCAAGAGATTCTGAAGGAAGTGTTTTAGTAAACTACATTAATCAACTATTTCAAAACAGAATTAGGAATTTCTTTGAATCCGTGGAATAAAGGGGAACATAAATATGAAGTTTAAATACTACTTATTTGGGTATTAATAAACTTTTCTCCTTGCTAATGAGTATGAGAGCTGCTTCTTATACATGAATCTCACAGCACCTACCACTGGCCCCCCATCTTCCCTCTTTCGTGAAGTTTCCGGTCCAGAGCCCTCTCAGTTGCCAAAGCCAATTTCTCTCTGCTACAACCACATTTGGAGAAGGTCGGTAAGATCAAAAGGCATAATTGGGCACCAGGCGCAGTGGTGCACACCTATAATCCCAACAGCTCAGGAGGCTGAGGCAGTAGGATTGCGAGTTCAAAGTCAGCCTCAGCAATGGCAAGGCACTAAGCAACTCAGTGAGACCCTGTCTCTAAATAAAATACAAAACAGGGCTGGGGATGTGGCTCAGTGGTCGAGTGTCCCTAAGTTCAATCCCTGGTACCTCCACTCCCCAAAAAAGAAAGGCATACTTGGGTATCTGGAATATATCTGCTAAGAAAGGATCTTAGGTGAAAAGTTAAAAGAATAAGATCATGTAGGATGGGGCAGATAAGGACTTTTTAGAGAAAAAGAAAAAGGGAACCTTGTTTTCCCTTCTGCAATGAGCAGCCTGGATCAACAGTATAGGAAAGGGAAACAAGACAAGACAAGATTTGGAGCAAAAGCTTTGGTCAGAAGCAGAGTGATGTTTGGCTGGAGCATGGGACTTACGAACTTAAGTGCAGTGGTGGCAAATGGCTGAATGAAGTCACCTGAAGTGAGGATCCTTGACAACTTAACTTCTTAAAGTAAGAGGAACAAAAAAGAGTTTGAGGTTGGGAGGCAGAAGGGGATATTCTTTGAGCTACAGTGAGCAGATGAACTGAAGTCTCAGGAGCTGAACCTATCAAAATTCATTTTAAGAAACTGCCTGCAAAACACTTCCCCTATCCACAATTTCTTACCGTATACACTGCCAGCAAAGCCAACTGGTTATAGGGGCGCCCATTCTTGGGAGCAATGTGCTGGGCCTTCAGGTACCAACTAGAATAGAAAAACAGTAAGAAATACTAGCTCCATATCAACTCTTTACAAATTCACCTTGACAGTCCTACTATTTAAGGCATAAGCTGGTGAATTAGCAAGATGTAGCCCTGGAAAGGTAAAGCATGACTAAAGGAAACAAAAAGCACATCAATAGAATATCCAATATGGGAAGGTGCTCAAGTGGCCCACTGCTTAATAGTGCTTAACTTAACGCCACACAGAAAAGAGAAAAAACAAACCAAGAGGTAAAAGTACCTGCGTGCTTTCCCGTAGTTTGCCGTATCATTGGCTTGCTCCCGATACCTAGCGATATCTCCTTGGCAAATCATACATCTCTGAGCACTGATTAAGGCATACTTTACCTTTAGAAGAAATAATCAGTTAGCAGAGTAATCAAAAAACACTAATTTTAACCCCAAAGAATAGGAATGAGTCAAAATGACAGCGAAGCATTGATAAGGCACAGTCCCCGTCCGTAACAAAGTACAAAGTTTTCAATCCAACCTTGACTACTAAAAAGTAGCCAAAAATGTGATACAAAATTTACTGAGAAAACACAGTGGCAGAAGAGAGAGGTATGATTCTTATTTTAAGCCCCAGTCAGCTAGGCACAGTGGTGCATGCCTATAATCCCAACCACTTGGGGGACTGAGGATCACAAATGCAAGGCCAGTCTCAACAACTTAATAAGACCTTGTCTCAAAATACAAACAGGGGCTGGGGTTATAGTTTAGTAGTAGAGAACTTGCCTCTACATAAAAATAAATAAATAAAATAAAGGTATTGTATCCATCTACAACTAATATATATATATATGTAAAAAATATATACATATAATATATATAATATGTACATATAATATATATAATATGTATATATAAAATATAATATATATATATATATTTTTTTTTCAAAATAAAATGGGCTGGAGATGTGACTCAATGGTAGAGTGCCCCTGGATTCAATCCCAGTACTACAAAAATTAAACAAAATTTAAAAGTTCAAGGCTGGCCTGGGCAACTTAGTGAGACCCTGTCTCAAAAAATAAAAAATGAGCTGGGCATTTATCACTGATAGGCTGGGCATCTATCATTCATTAAGAATGTAATCCCAGCAGCTGGGAGGTTGAGACAGGAGAATCACAAGCCAACCTCAGCAAAAASCAAGGCACTAAGCAACTCAGTGAGACCCTGTCTCTAAATAAAATACAAAATAGGGCTAGGGATATGGCTCAGTTGTCAAATGGCCCTGAGTTTAATCCCTGGCACCCAAAAATAAAAAATKAAAAATTAAAAATAAAAATAAATCCCTGGTACCCAAAAATAAAAAATGAAAAAAGAAAAATGGGAACATATAGCTCAGTGGTAGACTATTTATCCATCATGTGCAAGGCCCTGGGTTCAACCCCTAGTACCAAAAAGACATTTTTTTAAAAAGTCCCAAGCAAATGAAAGAACACACCCTGAAATGAGGGTCAGATGATATGACTCTATGTAACAGTGTATTCTGTCAAGAAGTCTTTTTAGGGGAAATAAGAGGAAGGATACTAGGAATTGAACCAGGGGCACTTAACCACTGAGCCAGATATCTAGCCTTTTTTTATTTTGAGACAGGACTTCACTAAGGCTGAGGCTGACCTCAAACTTGTGATCCTCCTGCCTCAGCCTCCTTGAGTTGCTGGGATTACAGGCATACACCACCATGCCAAGCTCAAGGAGGTTTTTGAGACACCTGGAAATTGATCTCTTCATCTGAGTAAAAATACATGTTCTATAGGGTAATTGAGGGAATAAATATAATATATAAAGTGATAAACAAATATTAAAATAATTGTCTACTCTGTTTCTTTCCTGCCATCATTATACTCTTTCCTCAAACTGTTATGCATTAGGTTCCCTTTGCCTAAAAGCAATAAACTATCCTTTACTAAACATGATAGGGTTTGTGGAGTACTATTAATATGTTTTATCACTGATAGGCTGGGCATCTATCATTCATTAAGAAAGCAACAAAATAGACTCTTTACTAATTCCAAGATATGTGCCCAACCAAAAATATCTCCCTAAAGGACACTACTTCACAGCATTTTATCCACTCCATACCACACACACAAAATTAACATATCACAAAATAAAGAATAAAGCTTCAATGAAGCTGAAAAGGAGATACTGACCCCCTCAGGAAGGTTCATTCAACCAGCTGAAAAAAGAACTACAACACATCAAATTTATGCCTCAGGAAAGTTATATGTCATATACCCTTAAAGTCATGACTATTTCACACATTCTTTCTAGGCATGAATATCAAAGAATCCTGGGATTTAACTGATTAAACAAAACAAAACTATGCCACCATAGTACAGACACTTTGTGGTCTCAATGAGGGGCAAAGTACGAAAACAATTCTTTCAAAGTCTCTCCATCATCCTCGGCATAGTGCTGAATGTCTGAGCCTCTGCTCACCTCTTTAGCATCACTATCCACTCACATTCTGTACCTCAGTCAAATTGGTTCCCATAACACACCACATCTTTCCCACTTTATGATATTCAGGTATATAGTTCCTTCCCCCTTGAATGTTCCTCTTCTCCTATACACCTTCACTTGCCTAAAGTCTCAGGTCTTCAGCCTTAACTGTTATTTCCTCTGTTCTCCATGATCCTCCAAACTAGCATACAACCTTTGCAAAACTAACCACATAAATAATTATTCACCTAACATCTACATTTAACTCCAAACTAAATTCCAAGAACTGGGAACATGGCTTTCTTGTTCTGCATTAACTGCCTTTGCCTACAATGACAACTAGCATGGAGTATTTATTTAACTAATAAATACTAGTTGATTAGTAAAAGTGTGTGTGTGTGTGTGTGTGTGTGTGTGTGTATAGATATGTATACACACCTATATATATACTCATATATATATATATATTCATAATACATATGTGTGTGTGTGTATATATATATATACACACACACACACACACACACACAGAGAAGAGAGAGAGCAAATCATCAAAAGGAGCAAACAGCTGGGCATGGTGGCATATACCATAATCCCAGGAACTTGGTGGCTCACACAGGAGGATCACAACTTGGAGGCCAGCCTCAGCAACTTAGCAAGACCATCAGCAATTTAGCGAGAACTGTCTCAAAAAATTAAAAGGGTTGGGGATATAACTTGATAGTAGAATACACATAGGTTCAATCCCCTGTACCTTCCCTCAACCCAAAAAGAAGCAAGACAGAGGTGGGGATATATAGCTCAGTGGCAAAGGTAGCATGCTCGAAGCCCTGAGTCCCAACCCCATCACTGCAAAAAAAAGGCATAAGAGAAAGTCTCTATTCCATTAACCCTAGTCTTTTATCTAAGGAATCTCTAAACTCTCCATTAAATCTCTCTCATTTTAGAAACAAAAACAAAAGGTAACTCAGTAGCAGAGCATTTGCCTAGCACACAGAAGCACACACACACACACACACACACACACACACACTCCTATACAAAAACTTCTCTTGACCTTATATTCTCTTTTAGCTATCTTCTTTCCTTACCTTCAGAGCCAAGATTTCTTTTTTTTTTTTCCCCCTGAGGATTGAACCCAGGGATGCTTAACCACTAAGCCACATCCCCAGCCCTTTTTTTGTATTTTATTTAGAGACAAGGTCTCACCAAGTTGCTTAGTGCCTCACTAAGTTGCTGAGGCTGGCTCTGAACTTGCAATCCTCCTGCCTCAGCCTCCTTAGCTATTGGAATTACAGGCATGTATGACCATGCCAGCTGCCAAGATTCTTAAAAGTATGGTCTATTTTCCACTCATTATCTCTACTGCCTCACTTCTCTTCATTATGGCCTGGATAGCCTGGATTCCACTCTCTCCCACAAAAATAACTCTTGATAAAGTTATTTAATACAAAGGATGCTTTTTTATAAGCAGTTAACACTTGAAAACTCTATAGCAATTGAAAATTTTACCCACCCCTACCCTGTAATTTGATCTCCCCTCTGGCCAGCCCTCCCAGTATCCCAATTTCTGCTCTAACTACCACCTATACATTAATGACCCTTGAATCATAAATAAATATATATACATATACACACACACACACACACACACACACAGACACACACACACACACACACATATATATATATATATATATATATATATATATATTTTTTTTTTTAGTTGTAGGTGGACATAGAACCTTTATTTTATTTTTATGTGGTGCTAAGGATAGAACCCAGTGCCTCACGCATGCCAGGCAAGCACTCTACCACTGAGCCACAACCCCAGCATCTAACCCCTGAATTTTTATTACCAGTCTAGCTCTCTCTTCTAAGTTCTAAGCAGACAAAATATTCATTTGCTCATTTTCAAGTTCCTGCTAGATACCTCACCTAAGTATATCTTATCTAAACTGATATCTATATTCCTTTGTAGCCACAAACTAGAAAATAATCTAGATACCTCATAACTCTCTAATCTTAGCCCTAACACCAAATCACCAGCAATTCAATTTTCTTTTCCTATCTTACTAATGTGGCTTTACTTTTACACCTCCACTACTCCTGTCTACCTTAGTCCATGCCTACTGCCTGACTCCCCAACCTCTACTTTTACCCAACTTCTATTTAAACTCACCAATTTGCCAAAATGATTGGTTCTAAAATCTGAAAATCAATCAGTGGTTCCCCAATGCTTTTAGAATGAAATCCAAACTCTTCAGCATGACATACAAGAGTTTGTGACCTAGTCACTTCCCACATTATTAGCTTTTCTTCCTATAATAGCCCCACTCCACATTACCAATACCAACATGCTGCCTGGCATAGCAGAACACGCCTGTAATCCCAGTTACTTGGGAGGTTGAGGCAGAGGTATAGCAAGTACAAGGCTAGCCTGGGCAACTTAGAGTGACCCCATCTCTAAATAAAATAACAAGAAGGGCTAGGGATGTAACTTAGTGGTAGAGTGATCCTGGGTTCCATCTCCAGCACTGCAAAAAGAAAAAAGAACACCAGCATACTGAACTTTTTCTTTTTTAAAAAGTATTACTAGGGATTGAACCCAGGGCTCGTGAATGCTAGTTGGCCTTGAACTAGCAACCTTCCTGCCTCAGCCTCCCAAGTAGCAGGAATTACACGTGTGAACCACCATGGGCTCAGCTCATGCTGAACTTCTTAAACTTTTCCAACAATCCCTGGTTCTCTCTCATTGTGCCCTCTATCTAAACTTCCCCTCCTACCTTTCAAACTCCAGCTTGACAGTCCCTGAGAAGCTTTCCTTGATCCCAGCAGTCTAAGATCAATTTCCTTCTATTTCCATTCACTATTCTAAATATACCACTACCATAGGTTTTATAACACATTACAATTGTTGGTTTCATCTGGCTGTTCCTCCACTGAACTATATTTTTCTTCTTGTATCCTCAACACTGAACATAGTCCCTAACACATCACTAGCTCTACATAAATGCTTCCTAAAATGAATGAATAATAAACAAGCTTGCTTACCATCTTGCGTAATGGCTTGCTGCGAATGGCAAGACCATCCATGTAGTCCTCCAGTTTGAACTTATAAGTAACCTGCAGCTTCTGAAGCAAACTATCAAAGAAGTCACTACCCTAAAAAAAAGAAAAAAGCAAGAAATGGTTGAATCGATTTATTCTGATCCAACCTACCCACCAGAAACTGGAACAAATGACTTTTCACAGTTCTGTAAATGTTCAGACAGCCCATGCAAAGGGAGGTACATATGGAATTTAGTGGCCCCCAAATGAACACAAAACAAAATTCATAGTATAAACTTCTCCATGGTTTTGAAGATATGAACTAAATACCCCTTTCCCACCTCTTCTGTCCCTCCCTCTTTCTCTCTCTCCCCAACCTCTCTCTCTATATATACACATACACACGCGCGTGTGTATCTCCCCTCACCCCTGCCCCAGGTAAATGCATTCAGAAAGCTTTCAATCTCAAAACTAACTCCATTTGTCAGCAAATTAGAATCCTAAGGAAATAACAGGGGCAAGTTGGGAGTAAACCCAAAATAAAAACATGAAGTTTTTTGTCAATGTTTTGCTCTAAAACATAGGTGGTAAAAACCCACCGCAAAACGATGCTGAAGCTTTTACCCTAAAGACAAAAAGATAATGGTTACCTCATCCAAAAGCTCCAGGAGTCTATTCCGTATCTGTTCTGGGTTCTCAACATTAGGATCCTTGAGAAGCTGCCTGAACTTCTCAATCACCTGATAGAAAGCATTCTTCCACAAGATCTGATCCACATTCTGAGTATCAGAGAACTCAATATCTAACAGAATACAACGCTCATACAGCTGTAGCAGTTCAGCTCTGGAAGAAAAAACATACAACTTCTAACTCCAAATACAATGCAAAAAAGGCTAGATCCAAGATTCAAACTTCCTGCAAATTAACCACCTCCCTTGGCAAGAAATAAAAAATGTAACCAGGTATCCTACTCACATTAGTTTCTGTGAGTAGAATGTCATTACAAAGGTGGTTTATGTCCGGAAAAATAGTGCTTCCCCATATGACCTCACCTAAATTTAACAATTGAGATATAAACTTCACTGCAAGTTGTATGTTGTTCATTTCTTAGCCTTCTTTACAGTCTTTCCAAGATTCCATGCTCCCTTAAAGATGTTTTTTCTTTTTCTTTGTTTTTGTTTTTGGGACTGGGATTGAACCCAGAGGCACATAGCCACTGAGCCACATCCCCAACCCTTTTTATTTTGAGCAGGGTCTCACTATGTTTTTTAGGGCCTACTTAAGTTGCTGAGGCTTGCACCCTCCCGAGTTGCTAGGATTAGGTGTGTACCACCACTCCCAGCTAAGATTTATTTTATTTTAAATATTTTTAGTTGTAGAAGAACAACATAACTTTATTTTACTTATTTATATGCGGTGCTGAGAATTGAACACAGTGACTCACACGTGCTAGGCAAGTTCTCTACCAGTGATCCACAACCCCAGCCCCTAAGATGTTTTTTCTTGAAGAAAAAGTAGGAAGCATAGTCATTTTGAAGATAAGAAACAAAACTTCCAGTTTTTTCCAATTGTCCCTCCATTACAAAATTCAACATGGGGAATTTTGTAATGGAAGGGCAGTGAGGGAATTGAGGGCCTTGGTACTGTGCTTACCTAACATGTGTGAAACACTAGATTCAATATCTAGCACCACAAGGGAGGGAAAAAAAAAATCAATGTGAAAGGGAGATAATCCTCCAGTGGTTCACCTAAAAACTTTCTACCTTCCTCAGCCATGAGAGCCTATATACCTCCAACTTACCCCCATTTCCCTTTAGCCAAGAATACACCATACCTGAGCTGAGCCATCTTCTCCATGCCCTCAGTACTGATGCGGTCCCTGGAAAGCAGGTTGCTGAGCTGTAGTTCCTGGTTGTCAGCTACCCGGAGAAGCCTATGTAGCTCCTGCTGCTGCATGTTCCTCACATGCTGCTCTATCTCTTCAGGACTCATGGTGCTGGCAGGGAGAGGGCTACATACATACTGTCCTGAAGGAGTCGGGTAGCCTGGGTAGTAAGGCCCTGGGTACACACCATTTGTAGGGCCTACTGGGTACTGCAGAGGGCTATACCCTGTATAGGGATACTGAGAGGCAGGGCCTGGTGTCCGGGGGTAATAATAGGGATTGTCAGAGTTTTGAAACTTATAGTAAGATGCCTGGGCCTGGCGTGAGTCCCATGATGTAGGGCTGACTTCATCATCAGTGTCTAAGAAATGTAACTGGGGTGTCTGGTTCTTTAGAGCAGGTTTCTGATCAGGATTATTTGGGTCCCATAGTCGGCGGGTGGTGCCTCCACGGCCCCAACTCCGAGATCCTTTACTACCAGATCCAAATAAAAGTCGAGGTCCTAAAGGCGTGGACTCTGGAGAACCTGCTGAATTGACAGATAGGGCAGTATGGGCAGGCAGGATCAAAATGCCACGACCACGGCCCCGAAGTTCTTGTTTCAGGTTTTTGGAATCCTGCTTCTCAGAGCCTTTGCCCCCACTGCTCAAACCTCTGTCAGGTTTTATCTTATCCACATCCTCCCTGGCTGATCTCATCACGGGGGAATCTTTGTTCATGGTTTCTGCATCAAAAGTTACACGAAGTGTGCCTCGATTTTCTTTACCATTGCTTTTCTGTTCACCCTCCCCACGGCCAGACCAGTTTCTTTCTAAGTGTGTCTTCTTTTCTGAGCTCCTCCTGGGCCCCAATCCTTCAGGCTCATCAATTCTATCCTCATCTAAAGAATCAGTTGAGGACATAGATACTTGTTTCTTCAGTCGTGGCCTTTCCTTGGTCCTATCCTGGCGGCGACGGCGACATCCATTATCAGTCAGGCCAACTCCCTCAGTACTATTGTTGCTACCAGCTGAGCTGGTACTGCAAGTGCGATAGCGGTTCCTCCGTTTGTCTGAGCGGGAATAGCGCTTTGCAGAACCAGGCTTCCCCTGGGCCAGGTCATCATTCAGTTTCTTTGTCCCCTCCCCTTTTTCAATCCTTTTTCCTTTTTCTCCTTTTGCAGTCCTTACTCTGTCACTATTTTGGCTCTTTTCTGTCTCAGCTTTAGCTGATTTATTCACAACTTCCTCTTTCACAACTTTTCCCCTACATTCATCTTCCTCTATTTTCAGCTGTTCTACCTGGTTGAGGATTTCCTCCTCATCCACCCGGCTAGCAGAATCTTTGATACCAGTCTGCAAACGCCTTCCAGGCTGATAGATCTGCAAATCAGGTTTCTTTGTTCTCTTGATGATTCTTAGACTTCGATCTTCTTGCCCAGCAGTCCTAGGAAAAGTCTCCTGTCCTTGATTATTTTCTGGGTCTACAGGACCATTTTGCTGGTGGTTATCCAGTTCCTTGCAGACATCTTTAATGAGCTGTGTACCATTTCCAACAGCACAAGCATTTTTATCATTAACAATTTCATCTTTAAATTCCTCACTCCCAGAGGGCTCCTTGATTTTAGGTCTGTTCCTTAGTCGGGAAAGACCAGGCTTATAGATTTCCAGATCTGGGCGCCTGTTATCTTTGCGCTGCCTGGGCTCCTTTAATTCCTTCATGTTTTCTGTTATTTTGGGGAAAGGGTTGAAGAAGAAAAGGCAAAAGAAAAGAATAAAGGAGGAGGGAGAGGGAAAACTGTCATTCCGATTAACTAACAGAAAAATTGAGCAAGCATACATATCTCCAAATGCTAATTTTGGCGGACAGGGAAGAATACTTCTGCAAAAGCAGAAATTTGGGGTTTATAATATTTGTTCAGCAACTGCCAAGGGTAAGAATTGAACTGGGTTAGGAAGTGGGAAGGAAAAAAAACTTGTATTTTCTTGGATTGCCCAAGATATATTCATATTCAGATTTCTAAGACCCCAAATTACCTCATATTATTAGAACAGAAGATCTCTTAATAATTTCAGCATTAAACTATTGTGTTTATAGAGCCCTTGAAACTATCAGTCTTTTCTTCTGCCTCTGATATTTTTCCAGGGTAGCTAAGTACTTTTAATTTATTAGCAGAGAAATAGGAGTATAATTCAGTAATACAGCACTTGCCTAGCCTATGTGAAGAGTAAAGCCCTGGGTTTTATTCCCCCCAGAAAAAAATTTAAAAACACATTTTAGTAGAGAAAAATAAAAAGGAGAAAAGGAGTAATATACAACAGTTCACAGTCCTGAACATCTCTGGAGAAAAAATAATTGCAACTCAAGTCTGTGAACTTGACTAGGATCTTTTACTTTAGCATACCAATTACCTTCACATACCTTCTACTGAAACAAACAAGAAGCAGTTCCCTTTATATTCTTCAACTTGACTTATCCTCACCAACTCTCTAACAGCAGCCAGAAGAGTCATTTCAAGAAAATACTGCTCAAACTATCATCATTAGAATACTGAGACTAACTGCTACTATGATGATGGAATATGAGAAGAAAAAGTTCCATAGAAGAGCTTCCCTGGACACTGGGAGAAGGATTGTGACATGCTCTCAAAATATCAAGGACTGTGGCATTCAAGAATAAGAAAACAGGGCTGGAGTTGTGGCTCAGTGGCAGAGCACTCGCCTAGCACATGTAAGGCACTGGGTTTGATTCTCAGGTCCACATAAAAACAATAGTGTCTATCTACAACTAAAAAAAAWTTTTTTTTAATAAAATAAGAGAACAGAGGTAGGCACAGCAGCACACACCTATAATCCCATTACTCAGGAAACTGAGGCAAGAGAATAGCAAATTCAAGGCCAGCCTCAGCAATTTAGGGAGCCCCTGTATCAAAATAAATGAAAAGGACTGGAATGTAGCTCAGTAGTAAAGCACCCTGGGTTCAACATCCAGTACCGAAAGAAAAAAAAAAATAAGAATATGGGACTTTAAAAACTACTCTCCAGACTTCATGAATTTTCTAAACAGATAAACAAGTATGTTTTTTTTTTAATGTCTGTTACTTTTATTTATTAAGGGGGAGATTATTACAAATAGCCACTAAACATTTCAGTGGAAAAGTGATGGAATTAGTGAGATTATCAAGTACTTAAAATGGAATGTTATGTAAAATCCTAGTCTTGTCTTGTACTAGAAACAAAAATGCAAACAAGATCATAACAGATATCATATATTCAAGCATTTACACCTACTTTTGTGGATTTAACAAAATAGAAAAAAGAAACTTAAGTTTATGATACCACTTTGGTATTTTCAAAAGTTTATTTATTTATTTTGGTACTGGGGATTGAACTGAACCCAGGGACTTTATCACTAAACTCCATCCCCAGTCCTTTTTATTTTTTATTTTGAAACAGGATCTGGCTAAGTTGCTGAGGCTGGCCTGGAATTGTGTCCTCTTCCCTCAGACTCCAGAGTCAATGGGATTACAGGTATGCAATCCGTGCTCAACCAGCTGATATTTTCAGAAATTTAAAGATTCTCCATCGAGTACGAACAAAGGTATCACAGAACACTCAGTCATCTTTGTAACTTAGGTAGGGATGAGGGAAAGGGAAAGGAGTTACTGCTACTTTCCAGAACAGAGGGAGAAAAACAGCATGGATAAACCAATTCAACTGACAAAAGAAAACCAAGCCTTGAAAAGGTATCTAACCCAGCTACCACCCTACAAAACTCCACCGCCCAACAGAGACACAAGAACATTTCTTGGAGCTTTTCTGATGTGGCTAGAGACTTCAAATTAACTGGCATTTTGAACATTCTCTCTGATAAAAACTGCTCCCACACAAGCCAAGGCCAAACCAGAACAGAATCAACTCTGCTCTCTGCGAGGTCCTGGATCCCTCGCAGCTTTCAGAAGCTTGCCTAGGGAAGAAAAGTTCAGCAGAAAAGTCTCAGTGTGTTTAAACCTTTCCCCTCAATTTCCCCAACTCCTTCCCTCCGACGCCAAGCAGATGGAGAGAACAAGCTAGCCAAGGATTCCTTCGGGAACGCTACACACCGGGGCCTCCACCAGACCTCAGCACCCACTCCTATTCGCGTATCCTGACAACTAGGAATCCACCGGCTCATCTGAGGGAGCTGGGGCAAAGGGAAACAGTCACCTTCGTGGTGAGAAAGAGGGTGGAGGCAGGAACTCTGACTGGGCTCTCCCAGAGCTGGCCGGAGCTGATGGAGCCCGACCGTGAGGCTGGCAGGGCAGCTAGGGGCCCGCCCGCGGCCCCCGCCCCCACGGTTGGGGGAAGGGGCGGGGGCTCCCGAGCTCCACGGACTGGGCGGGGAGGAGGAAGAGGAGGCGAGGGAGGCGGGGCGGGCAGGCCCGGCCCAGGAGCTGGGCGGTGCGACTCACCTCTGCTCCCGGCCTGCGGAGCCAGAGTGGCCAAGATCCCTCGCAGCTCCGACGCGGAGATCCGTACACGCTCCAACCCCTCCGCCATCTTCGCGGCTGCTGCTACAGCTGCAGCGACGCCGCCACCGCCGCGAGCAGCCAGGAAACCACGACGGACCGGCGGCGCGCGCTCACCCACTCCCACCCTTTTCCCCGCCCCCTCCCGCCTGTCCTCCTTAACGACGGTGGCCGCACTGGGAGGAAAAGCGCTGAACGCGCGTTCGAAAGGGGCAGTGCCTTAAAACAAGCCAGAGCTAGAGAGGCGGGCGCTGCGCGTGCGCAGAGGTAAAGTCGGGGGAAGGTGTGCTGAGGCTGGAGGTGAAGGCTCTGCGGCGGTGAGGTGAGGTGAGGAGTGGCGTGTCCTGGCTTCGGCAGGCCAGGTTGGCGTTCGCGGCGGTGGCTGCCAGTGCTGCTATGGTGGCCACTGAGGACATTGGTGCTGGTCTGGGGCTCGGGTGGTCGGAGATACCCCACAATTCGGCCTTCTCCAATCATCTTAGTCCAGAGTCTCCCGTCACAGGCCTGGACTGTACCCCACGCATTTGTTTGGGGGCCTTAAAGATAAGAGCAGTTGCCGGGGCGGTGGCGCACGCCTGTAATCCTAGCAGCTTGGGAGGCTGAAGCAGGAGGATGGCGAGTTCAAAGCCAGCCTCAAAAATAGCGAGGCGCTAAACAATTCAGTGAGACTCTGTCTCTAAATAAAATACAAAATAGGGCTGGGGATGTGGCTCAGTGGGTCGAGTGCCACTGAATTCAATCCCCAGTACCAGAAAGGGGAAAAAAAAAAAAGATAAGAATAGTAATGATTTTGCCCATTTTTAACATAAGGAAACTGAATCCCAGACAACTGAAGAAATAAATTGTCTAGGGTGTCATAACTGTTGCTACTGGATATCAGCCTTTTTCTTTATGCCAAAACGACATCCCAAACATCCTTACTTTATTTATTTATATATTTTGTGGGGGGGGAGGGGTACCGGGGATTGAACCCAGGCCTTGTGCATGCAARGCAAGCAAGCACTCTACCACTAAGCTATATCCCCCAGCCCACCATCCTTACTTTAATACATACATGTGTGTGTATGGTTGCATGTGTATGTATATGGATATCCACACACAGTATAGTTGGCTCTTGCGGAGAGGAGGAGTTATGTGGAAGATAATAAATGTGGACGTATTAAAACTCCCAAAATTCGATTTGGGAATTTCTATGTCGCTAGGAATTCTTGGGAAGAAAAAAATCACTTCTTTAGATCCCAGGTTGATTTTGTTGTTGTTGTTTTTCAATTTTTAAAATTTAACTAGACCAGAAGACTGGTACTAACCTTTTGACCATGAACCTGTTGTTGTGTGGGGAACTCCCTCCTCCAAGGCTGCTTACCTCCACAAGTTGCTCCTTCTTGTTCCCACACAGTCCGTTGGACCCTAAACTCTCAAAATAATAAGTTACCAATTATTCCATAGTCTGAGCCTAAAAGATTTGAACAACCTGACAGAACTCATTAAATTCCTATTATGTGACAGACACTTCACCATCAAAATGTGAAGCCTAAGAAGAAAGTCAATAAATATGTGATAAGATTCAACAATTCAGCTGGCCTTGGTGGCACTTGCATGTAATCCCAACAACTTTGGAGGCGAGTGCTTTACCACTGAGCTACATCCCTAGCCCCCGTCATTTAAAAAAAWAATAATAATAATTTGAAACAAGAAACCTTTATTAGGACAAACAAGATGACGAATTTAATGCAACAGTGTCACTGAACTGCAGGTTGGATATGCCAAAAGTTTTTACTGGCAGACAAGCCAAGAAATTTGCCTGGATTTCAGCTGGCTGGATTCCCTGCCAGCAAAAGAAATTAGAAAATGTTTGCTTAACAAAACCAACTCAATGGGGCCCAGGTTGTGGCCCAGTGGCAGAGCACTTGCCTTGCACATGTGACACACTGGGTTCCATCCTTAACACTACATAAAAATAAATACACAAAATATTGTGTCCATGTATAACAAAAAAAAAAAAAATTTAAAACAACTCAAGAAAATTTACCAGAACTCAAGAAAGTAAAGATAATATATATAGGGGCTAGGGATGTGGCTCAAGTAGTAGCACGCTCGCCTGGCATGCGTGCGGCCTGGGTTCGATCCTCAGCACCACGTACAAAGAAAGATGTTGTGTCCGCCAAAAACTAGAAAATAAATATTAAAATTCTCTCTCTCTTAAAAAATAAATAAATAATAAATAAATAAACCTTTAAAAAAAAAAAGAGATAATATATATAAAACTGAATCCAGTATGGTTGCACATGCCTGTAATCCTAGTGACTAGAGAGGCTAAGGTGTAAGGATCAAAAGTTCAAGGCCAACCTGAACAATTTAGACTCTGTCTCAAAATAAAAAATAGAATAAAAGGGTTGGGGATGTAGCTCAGAGATAGAGCACCCCTGTTCGATCCCCAATACAAATAAATAATAAATAAATAAATACAACTATGAGAAGATAGAAAACCTAGAAAATGGGTCCAAAAAACTAAAAGGCATTAATAATTGAGGCAGAGCAATAATAGTCAGTGAAAGAAAATCTACTCAATTGATGGGGATTTTTTGAACTTTCAGATTTAAAGGATTCATGAAATAGGGTAAAAACAAAAGACAAATATGTTTAATTGAAAACTTCTGAGTTTTCCGTGTACTGACATGGAACAGTCTTCGAGATGTATTGTTTAAAAAAAAAAAAAAAAAGATGTATTGTTAGTTGCTTTTCCTTTATAACATTGTTTTCAGCTGGGCTTGGTGGCACACATCTATGCCTGTAATCCCAGCTACTGGAGATGCTAAAGCAGGAGGATCACAAGTCTGATACCAGATTCAGCTACTTAGTGAGACCCTGTCTCAAAAATAAATTTAAAAAAATAGGGCTTTGATGTAGCTCAGTGATAGAGCATCCCTGGGGAGTAACACACACACACACACACACACACACACACACACACACAAAAGTTATATATACAGTTGATTCTGTGTGCCACAAAATCGTCTGTTGTATTTGTAAATTTCTACATGAATATGTCAAAGAGGCGTGGAAAAATGCATACCAACATTTCCAAGTAGTTGCCTTTGTGGAAGAGGGGATTTGATGGTAGAGAGTGAAGGCTCTGTATACTGCTGTAATATTTTAATTTTTGTATTTTCTTTTGCAGTGCCAGGGATTAGACTCAGGACTTCCCTGATATAGGCAAGCCCTCTACCACTGAGCTATATTCTAAAACCCTGAATTCTTAAAATAGGGATTTGGTTATATAATATGTGGTTAATTAGGGAAAAAAAGATGAATTTGGATAATAGAGGAGTGAGGAGTTCAGTTTTCAAAAATAAATAAATACAAGTCACATTTGCTGAGTACAAAGTAATAAAATTAGAAATAAATAACCAAAAATTAAACAAAAAATTCTAACCACTTGAGCTGGGAATACAGCTCAGTTGGTAGAGTACTTGCCTCTCATGCACAAGGCCCTGGGTTCGACCACCAGCACCACCAAAAAAAAAAAAAATTCTAACCACTTGTTAATTTTTTTCCCTTTTTTTTTTTTTGTACTGGGGATTGAACACAGAGGCACTTTGGCACTTTGCCACTGAGATACTTCCCCAGCCCTTTTTAAAATTTTTAATATATTTATTTATTTGGTCTTCTTGGGGGGGCGGGGGTACTAGGGATTGAACTCAGGGGCACTTGACCACTGAGCCACATCTCCAGCCCTATTTTGTATTTCATTTAGAGACAAGGTCTCTCTGAGTTGCTAAGCGCCTTGCCGTTGCTGAGCTGGCTTTGAAGAACCCAAGATCCTCCTGCCTCAGCCCCTGAGCCACWGGGCTTAGACGTGTACCACCACACCCAGCTGTTTTTTCTTTTTGAGACAGGGTCTTGCAAAGTTGCTGAGACTGACCTCAAACTTATAATCCTCATGCCTCATCCTCTTGAGTTGCTGTGATTACAGGCCAATACTTATAATTTCATAAGTCATGGGTCAAAAAAGAAAACAAAGAGGTCTAGGGTTGTGGCTCAGCAGTAGAACAGCATGCTCGAGGCCCTGKGTTTGAACCTCAGCACCACATAAAAATAAATAAAATAAAAAAGAAAACAAAACAAAGAGTTGAGGATATTACCCAATGATACAGCACTTGCCTAACATGTTGCCCTGGGTTCAATCCCCAGCACTGGGAAAAAAAAGATAATGGATTCTTTAGAAATTAAGATAAAAAATATATATTGCCACACAGAATCCATGATATATCATCAAAGCAGTTCTCAGGAAAATATGTATCCTTAAATCCTTTTAGTATTTAAAAAATGAAAATTAAGGGCTGGGGATGTGGCTCAAGCGGTAGCGCGCTCGCCTGTCATGTGTGCGGCCCAGGTTCGATCCTCAGCACCACATACAAAACAAAGATGCTGTGTACGCCAAAAACTAAAAAAACAAATATTAAAAAAATCTCAAAATAAAAGAAAATTAATTAGGTAAGCTTCAACAAATGTAGAAAAGGAAAATATGAGAAAAAGCATAAAGATAAAATTAGAAAATGATAAGAAAAAAACAGTATTTTTATATTGAAAAAAAATGTTACTTGACAGATAGCACTTCTGAATTAATATAAAGAAATTACAATAGCTGGGCTTCGTGACACATACCTGTAATCCCAGCAGCCCAAGAGGATTGCTAGTTCAAAGCCAGCCTCAGGAATTTAGTGAGGTCCTAAGCCACTTAGAGAAACCTGTCTCAAAATAAAAAAAGGGTTGGGGATGTGGCTCAGTTGTTAAGCAACCCTGAGTTCAATCCCTGATTCCAAAAAACAACAACAAAAAGACTTTGTTGAACCTATACATTCTGAGGGGATTCATTGTCCTCAGGCTGGTAACCATAACAAAAAAAAACAGTTCTTGATAATAAATGAAGAACTGGGGCTGAGGCTGTAGGTCAGGGGCAGAGCGCTTGCCAAGCAGGCATGAGGCACTGGGTTCAATCCTCAGCACCGCATAAAAATAAAATAAAGGCATGCTGTCCATCTACTACAAAAAAAAAAAAATTTTAAATAAATAAATTAATTAAAGAACTCATTCTTCAGAAATAGACACTAATTTGGACACATTTTTGACAAAAAAGAAAGAAAG